CAATGTATAAATATACCCTCAGTAGAAGTCCCGCAAATGTCCAGATGGATGAAATGTAACCATATCCAAGGACATTCAAACACAGGATCATCTACTGATTGAATTAGTTATGCGTAAGGAAGGCAAGAAAATTTGGGTTCCAAATTTATTACTAGATTTAATGACACAGATGCCTGTCCTGTCTTCTCTACTGCATTCCAGATTCCTTAAGATATGGAACTGTGACTTCTTTTTTGAGTCTGCCATTGAGAGATGGATTAGCATTGCTAATGAGCAGCATTGGCCTTCCTTGTTTGTTTTGTGTTTATTTATTTTGAGAGAGAGAGTGAGTGGGGGAGGGGCAGAGAGCACAGTGAGAGAATCCCAAGCAGGCTCCCCACTGTCAGCGCAGAGCACAGAACCCTATGTGGGTCTTGAACCCACAAACCATGAGATCATGACCTGAGCTGAAACCAAGAGTCGGGTGCTTAACAGACTGAGCCACCCAGATGCCCCTGGCCTTCCTTGTTTTAAATGCAGTACACTGAGGAGGGCACTTGTTGGGATGAGCACTGGGTGTTGTATGCAAGCGATGAACCACAGGAATCTATCCCAAAAACCAAGAGCACACTTTACACACTATATGTTAGCCAATTTGACAATAAATTATAATAAACAAACAAACAAATAAATAAATGCAGTGACTATAAACACAAATCCTTCAAGGACCAAGCCAGCAATGAATTAAGAAATGAAGGAAAGAAGGTGAAATAATACAGAGTGGGGAGAGCTGTAGAAAACCCCAGAAGGGTGCCCTGTCTAGAGAGGGCAGTGGATGTTCGGCTCGGGTAAGTGGTGCCACAATGAATCTTGGCCTGGTGGTATCAGTTGCCAGTTTTTCAAGTGAGGCTTAAAATGTATATCGTACATAAAATCATCTGATCCTTATAGGTTTGCAATTGTTTAAAGGTTGGCCATTAAATCTGCTTTTAAGATCGCGGTATGGGCCAGATTCTGAAACCTCCAGATGTTGGTTTCTGTGTGCCATCGATAGACTGGCTCATGGAGCCTCTCTGCCAAAGCCACACAGTAGCCCTGACGCTGAGGACGTATATTGGCAGGCGTGATGGTCAGGGCTTCTGTAGAGACCGGGTGCTTGTCTTGTGTGCTCAAGCCAGATACACGTTGGTCATCGCCACACGGTAAACCACAGGTGCTTCCGTTTAAAGGATCATTATTAGGCTGCCCCCAGTGATGAAGAACACCGAGACTCTGAGGGATTCCGGCAGTCACCCAGTGTCCTCCATACTGTCCCCTTCACTGCCCACGGGCCTTCGCACCACATGACTTATTAAGTCACCCAAAAGCCTCTAGACCACCTGTTCAAAAAATTTTTATTGTCAGTCAGGTGAGTGTGACAGGATTGCTAACTTTGTGAGGAAGAAGTCCTTGGGACACCTGGGTGGCTCAGTCAGTGAAGCATCCGACTTCAGCTTGGTCATGATCTCATGGTTCATGAGTTCAAGCCCCATGTCGGGCTCTGTGCTGACGGTTCAGAGCCTGGAGCCTGCTTTGGATTCTGAGTCTCCTTCTCTCTCTGCTCCTCCCTCCCCACCCCTCAAAAATAAATAAATACATTAAAAAAAATTCTTAATGTTAAAAAAAAGAAATGCTTGTAATAGTTGGTGGCTTGTAGCCACATTTCCATGGCCGTCACCTCTTGGTATAATTACGATAATCTCTTTTTACATAAGCAATTTTTTAAAAACTAGCTCCTCTCACTAGCCAAGCCTGACCATTTTAAAAGAAAAATAAATCTCTCTAAATTACAAGAGTAATACATGCCTGTGAAAAACTCAAACAAGCCCAGGTACATAGAGCAAAAACCCAAAGTTTCTGTTTCTCCTATTCTATGCCAGGACGTAGCGACATCAGCAAATTTGGGGTGTTTTTTATCCAGGGTCTTCTCTTTTTTTTGCATCTGCACACACAAGCACATGCACACACACACACACACACACACACACAAATGTGCATTTTGTGTATTTTAGTAGCTTACACATAAATAGCAAGATGCTATACGTACATACTGTTCCCTATTATTCTGGGACTTGCTTTGTTTATTAGATGCTGTGTGTTGGAGGTGATTTCTGTGAAGTTTTCCACCCGACTTTTAGCTTGTAGATGATTCATGAATATATGCATGAAGTATAACGAAAACTGCTTGCCTTAGATTTGGAAGTTTATTTAGAGACCTTAAAATTGTGATAAACAAGTGCTACTTTTCTACCCAGAGCTATGTAATAAACACAGTCTTAGAAAATGTTATGTTTGCTGAATTTGTGCTTGGAATCCATTATAAAAATGCCCAGGAAATTGGTTATTGGAAATGACTCAACAATGAGTGATATTCATAGGAAATGTTCTTTAGGAATAAAAATGATCATCCCTAAAATACCACTTGTAAAGAGTCAAATGCATGCACACATATATATATGTATATGTAATTTGTCTTAAATTGGAGCACTCAGCATATGACCTTGATTAACCCCAGCACAAGCCTGATGGAATGGGAAGAAATTGTTCACTTTTCTTTATTGGATGTTTTGATGTTTTATCAAATCATAAGCCAAAGAGAAGGACTGACTTACAATTGGTGAGCATGAAGGATCTCTCCCTTCCTCTGGGTTCTCTGGGTAGGTATAGCATGCTAAACTGTACAGTGTTCCTCATAAAGTGCTCAAAATCCACCAAAACTTATTGGAAGAAAAGTATTCTGTGTCATATGGCTTGATTCAACTGGATTCAAACCAAGAAATCCTGGCTGAAATCAAACTTAACCAACATGCACGCTTGTGAGAGTAAGCATCCTGGGCCAGTCCTCAAATGTTCGCTGCAGCGGAAATCCAAGATCCCAGCCTTTTTTCCTTATTGCCTCCCTTCTTTCTGCCTCATTTGCAGGAACATCACCTGTAACCGTTTTCTTTTAAAGCAAGGTTTTAAGCTGAAATTTCTCCCAGCCTGAAAGGGTTTTTTTTTTTTCCCCTCCCTAAGAGAATTTATGTTTAATGATTTATTAAAAGTGTCCAAGCAGGGGGGAAAAATGGTTTTCATTAGAGAGAAGCAGAGTAGCACCCTGAACAATGCAACATGAGTTTTATGCTTTACATTTCAAAATTTTGGCAAACTGCTTAGTGCATGGAGCCTAGGGCTTTGATTAATTTATCAACAAATGATATGTCGCTAGTCGGCTAAGGCTATTACTCCTCAGGTGTTTTACATAGCGCACATGAAAATATACAAATAAGCATTAAAAAAAAAACCTGCCAGCAATCCAATTCATATACAGTGGTTTGCAAATTCTAAAACGTTTGTGTGCCAAGAGTTCGCTTGGATCTCAGAATGTATTACCCATACAGAGTGACCAGATTTCCAGCAGAGCCCAGGAAGCGGTTTGATTGATCATGAGGTGAAATATTATCAATAGAGTCACTGAGTTCCAGAATCTCTTAGGAAGCCCAGACTATGCAGCCCTGTCCGACACCCCATGGGGCTGGGGCGGGTGGGGGCTTAGGGAGGTGGGGTGGGAACTGGTGGTTTCCATGGCAGCAAGAACTGGGCGGAGCCTGTCGGTTTCCACGTTCTGCCGATTCCTGGATATTTGAGTTTAGGCTTCTGCAGGCCACAAGTAATGAAATGGGGGAACTTGAGACCCGGAGTTAGAGGGGACCGCAGGAAGAGCCTCCCAATGACTGAAGCAGGCACTGTAGAACCGACTGGGGGCGGGGTGGGGGGGAGGAATGTGCTCCCCACGCCTGCTCCCTGCACATCTGCCGTGTTTCTTCCCCAGCACGTGGCTGAGTGGTCTGCTTCGAGGTGTAGGCTCTGGTTTCTAAATTTTCTTCTCTTTCGTTCAGCAGACGCTGACTGGGGTCTCAGAATCCGAATTTCCAAAGAGGAAGCATTTGGGGAGCCAAATTAGGTCAAGTGTCCAGCCCAAGGCCAGCTCACTCTGGCTCAGATTCGGGGGAGGGGTTTGGGGGAAACCCAGGGCTCCAACATGGCCACCAACCTCTTCTCCTGTCCCTCTTCCTTCCCACAGGGGAGCCAGCGTGTGCAGGGGAAGGGAATTCTCCCCAGAAGAGCAGCGTCGGATTCAGACCCTGCAAAAAGTATCCAATACATTTTGTAATTTGGGGAAAAAAAATCAAATAAAATGGAAGTAAAACCGCTTGCCTCTCAAGGTTGTAGAATTTATGTGTAAGGATTTGAAAATGCGTTGTAAACTCTAAGCGTTCTAAAAGTGGTGAGATTTTACTCTTAGTCTAGATCAACAGTCATTGAATGAGGATTGGTGGAGCACTTAGTTCATGCCGGGGATACTTTCCAATACAGACATAAAGAAGAAAGACAAACCCTGGGACAAGAACGTAATGTAGTAATAGAATAAATTCTGGAGTCAAATAGACCTGCACTGAATCCCCCTGCCACTTACACTTAGGGGCTTTGGACACATTTCGTCCCTCTGAGCCTCAGTTTTCTCATCTATAAAGTGGGAGTGTTACTCCTTAGCACAGCCTCTACGGCCCTACCTGATCCAGCCTCTGCTCACCCCTCCCCAGTCAGTCCTTGCCCTCACGTTCAGGTTCAAGTGTCTCCTACCTTGCTGGCCTCTGGTGGCTCCCCCAACCTGCTGGACTTGGGCCTGCCTCACGGCCTTACAGCCACAGTTCCCTCTGCCTGGAAATAGCCCTTCTCAGAGGCAACCCTCTTACCTAAATGTCTTCCCCCTCACCGTGCTCCTCACCCCTCACCGTGCTCCTCACCCCTCACCGTGCTTCTCACCATAGTACTTATACTCCCTAAAACCACATATTCACTTGATTTCTTATTAGCTGGGTCCCCCGCTAAAATAGAAGTTCCATGATCCAAGGGCACTGGGGTTTTCTTGAACTTCTGTGACCCCGAGCCTAGAACAGTACCTGATATTAATAAATGTACATACTGTCACACAGGTAGAGTCCCATGTGACAAGAGAGGAAGAAGAGGCTGGAGCGACACTCCCACAAGCCAAGGACCACCAAGGAAAACTGCATTTACTGGGAAGAGTCTCTACTGCTCTGAGAACACCTCCCCCCCACCGCCCCCCAGTTCACCTTGGGTTGGATGGGTTTTCCAGACCAGGTTTGGTCCCTTTCCCTACCTCCAAAGTAGTCCTGTGGCTTCCAAAGGCACTCCAGAACCAGAATCAGCTGTCTGACACCTTGAACTCTGGACCAGAGCTGCCTGAACATGACGTTCACATCAGGAAGAGCATTGTTTGGAAGCACCCCAAATGTTCTGCGGTAGATGACTGGTAAGATAAATTCTAATGTCTCTTCCACTGATACGGCATAATCTCCAAATATATCATAAGTAAGAAAAACAAGACAGAACATTATGTAAAGAATATTACCATTTGTGTAAAAAAAAAAAAAACAGATTCACATTTGCTTGTTTATGCAATTAAGTAAAATTCCACTTGAAAAAGCCTTTTAAAAAAGCAGTATTATTGGGGCACCTAGGAGGCTCAGTAACGACTTCGGCTCAGGGCATGATCTCACGGGTCATGAGTTCGAGGCCCACGTTGGGCTCACTGCTGTCAGTGCAGAACCCGCTTCGGATCCTCTGTCCCATTTTCTTTCTCTCTGCCCCTCCCCTGCTTGTGCTCTCTCAAAAACTAAATAAACATTTTTTAAAAATTGAAATTATCGAAATGGTCCTGCAGTGAGTCTCGATATCCCTGGCTTCTCTCTGCCTCCAGGTACCATTTATCCAACAGCCCGCCTTCCAAGTCATTGTCTGGAAGCCTTTTTTTTCTCACGCCCTTCATTTGCTTTTCAGTGACTTCTCAGTACCTCAGACTTACACCACAAACTTTATAATCCGCCATTCAGGGCCCCCTGCATACAGACACAATTTCTCTCTCCAACGACACTCCGCCACACGGTCCAGGGACTCTCCCCTCCAACCAGCACCAAGTGCTCACTGGCCCCAGACACAGCGGCCATTTTTGTATGACCGAGGGCTTTTGACAAGAATGAGTGGTGAATTTTGCCAAATGGCTTTTCTGCACGTGTTGCAATGAGCCTGTATTCGTTTCTCAGGGCTGCTGGGACAAAGCGCCGCAAACAGGGTGGCTTAAAAGAAATTCGTTAATTCACAGCTGCGGAGGCTGGATGCCTGAGCTGTGGATGTCGGCAGGGCCATGGTCCTTCTGAAACCCCTTTGGGGAGTCCTTCCTTGCCTGTCACTAGTTTCTGAGCAGCACACGAGTCCCCATGGATTGATGGATCGGGGCCCGCCTACTCCAGGTTGACCTCACCTTAACTCACTACACCTGCAGTGACTCTGTTTCCAAATAGGGTCACATTCTGAGGTACAGATGTGAGGACTCCAACATATCTTTTGGGGGAGACACAATTCAACCTGCATAAGAAATCATTTGACTTTTCTCCTTAGTGCTATTAATAGGATGGATAATACTCATAGATTTTTGTTGTTATTTAACTATACTTATTAAGGTTATGACTGGAACAAATTGCACTTAGCCGCAATATGTTCTGTTTTAAATGGACTTCTGGATTTCACCTGTTGATATCTTAAGGTTTTTGAACCCTATTCGGAAGTGAGAATATTCTGTTGTTTTCCTTTTGATGTTTCCAGTTTTGAGATCAATATCATAATGACTTTATAAAAGGAACATTGGAAAATTCTGTCTTCTGGAATAAGTGACATTGAGATTATCCATTCTTGAAAGGTTGGGGTAGAATTTCCCTGTGGTATTATCTAGGCTAAGTGCTTTTTATGGGGGAGAATTTGAACCCCTTTATCTAGTTCTGTAGGCTGGACCTAGTGACTTGCTTCCAATAAGTAGAATATGATTGGACTATCGGCATATGACCTCCAATATCAGATTATAAAAGATGACCACCTTGTCTTTCTCTGATCCTCTCTGTCTCTGGTTTTCTCAGAAGGACGGAAGGAAGCTGGTGGGCTGTGAGCTGTCCTATGGAGAGACCCATATGGCAAGAAAGAGGGTGGCCTCTGGCCAAGAGTCCACAAAGAATGGAAACTTACCAATCACCACTTAAGTGATTTTGGCAGCTGGTCTATCTTCAACTGAGCCTTGAGGTGACTGAGACCTTGTGAGAAACCCAGAGCCAGAGGACCCAGTTAAGATGCTCCTTGGATTCCTGACCCACAGAACCCTCTCGATAATAAATGTTGCTGTTTTAAGTCACTATTTGTGGGACAATTTGTTACACAGCAGTAGATAACCAATACACAATCCCAACCCTGGCGACCTGTCCTGACCTAGGAAGTACTGCCAGTTTGAAAACTGAATGGTCTAGCTGTCATTTGGAAGTGACTTGCTCCATAGAGAGAGAACTCTAAAAGAATTTAAAATGCAATAATGCCATCAGTACCAAAGTTTTTCATTTGAAAGGCCTTTTAACATCATGTTCGTTTAATTTACTCATTTTGACTCAATAAAGATATGACAGTTTTCCCTTCAAATTTACTTATACTTAGTTCTTTCTTCTAAAAAAAGAATTGTATCTGCACATGAGTATTTAGAATGTGTCAAATTAAATACAGACTGCCTAGATAAAAATTGAGCAGGTTATGGGTTGAATTATAACATAGATTTATATTATACAACATTTAAACCACCATTTGTTTGATTTCCATCCACCAAAGATCTGTCCTCTCTTCTTTCACAGAAATATAGTCTAAGGTGGACGTAAGCTGGCCTTCTAAATTTTTTTTATGTTTTTATTTTCTTTTTCTTTTTTTTTTTTAATTTCTAGGAGAGAGAGAGAGAGAGACAGCGTGAGCAGGGGAGGGTCAGAGAGAGAGGGAGTCACAGACTGAAACAGGCTCCAGGCTCTGAGCTGGCCGTCAGCACAGAGCCCGACGCGGGGCCCGAACCCACGAACCACGAGATCATGACCTAAGCGAAAGTCGGACGCTTAACCGACTAAGCCACCCAGGCGCCCCAGTTTTTATTTTCTTTTTGAGAGAGAGACAGAGCGTGACTGGGGGAAGGGCCGAGAGAGAGGGAGACAGAATCTGAAGCAGGCTCCAGGCTCTGAGCTGTCAGCACAGAGCCCGACGCGGGGCTTGAACTCACGGAGTGAGTATCATGACCTGAGCTGAAGTCAGACACCTAACCAACTGAGCCACCCAGGTGCCCCATAAGCTGTCCTTCTAAAGATAACATTTCCAAGCCTGTCTTGGGCCATGTACCTATGTTCTTACTGATGCAACATAGATTGCTGTTTAGGACAGTCGCTGGATTTCAGATGTGCCCATAACCCAGCTTCAATCACGCAGAGGAGGACAGTTATCATTGGTCCCAGGGGAAGTGGAACAATAAGATGGCAAGATGTTGGTGTGCCGTTTCGAAGGGCACATGCATCCCAATGTTTATATCAGCGCTATCAACAGTAGCCAAAGTACGGAAGCATCATGGAGCAGAACTTTCCGCACCCAGACCCCTCACCTGGGAACTGTCACATGAAAGGGAAAGAAAATAACTATGTTCTTGAAGTCACTGGATTTTGGGGTCTCTTCGTTACAGCAGCTTAACCTTCACTCTGATGAATACATCCATCATTGCTCCTTTAAAATATGTCCCTTAGTAATTACTATATATACACAACTAAGCAAAGTGCAAATACCTTGATTTCTGCCCTGGGCCGGGGTGGGGAGAAACAGCAAAATGTCTTTCTCCCGGGTGTGACTAGTGTTAAACTGTCCAAAAGGCTACAGATTATTTTTCCTGCGTCCACTTTATTTCTATGCATGACTTCAGGCTACCATGTAACTTCTCCACTAGACGTTAGGCCCTTCAGCCTACCTTTCGCTTCTCAAAGACGATGATTTCTGTTAGATTGGTTGGGAAATTTATTGTCAGACTATCAGCCTGTGCCTTCGAAGACAGGGTGGGGGACAGGTCTGGGGGAGCACACGGATCACTGCCAGAGGTCAACAGCTTTTCAGTCTCACTTGAGATGTTCAGGGTCAAGTCCTCCTGAAGATTCCTTCCTAAGTTGAGTGCTTCTGGCACATGCTATGCCTCTGTCACCCAGTTGCCCTCTAGAGCTTTCTCACAATAGCCTTGTAAGGCAGGAAGCACGGGTTATTATTTCAACACGGGGAAAGACTGAGACACACTGGGACATCACAAGCCACTAGAAGCCAGAGCCAGTATGGGGTTCTCCAAGGAGACAAAATGCACTGTGTGAATGGGCAATTCTTTGGCTTTATGTCAAATGTGCTGTGTCTGCCCTGCTTCTTTTTTCTAATTGAGAGGAAGGAGAACTGAAGCATTAAACTTCAGAGATACATCACTTCAGTGTCCTCAAGGGAGAATCTATTTCTTTAACACATAAAAAGAACAGGTCATGAACTACTCCAACTTTAGCTTTTAAAACTAAACTATATGGGAATGCAAACTGGTGTCGCCACTCTGGAAAACAGGATGGCAGGTTAATTGTTTAATTTTTTTTAAATATATTTTTTAAATTTATTTCTAGGAGAGAGAGAGAGAGACAGCGTGAGCAGGGGAGGGTCAGAGAGAGAGGGAGATACAGACTCTGAAATAGGCTCCAGGCTCTGAGCTGGCAGTCAGCACAGAGCCTGACGCGGGGCTTGAACCCACGAACCGCAAGATCATGACCTAAGCGAAAGTTGGACGCTTAACCGACTAAGCCACCCAGGCGCCCCAATTGTTTAATTAAACAATTAAAACTAGAACTACCCTATGACCCAGCAATTGTACTACTAGGTATTTATCCAAGGAATCTAGGTGTGCTGTTTCAAAGGGCACATGCACCCCAATGTTTATAGCAGCACTATCGACAATAGCCAAAGTATGGAAAGAGTCCAAATGTCCATGGACAGATGAGTGGATAAAGGAGATGTGTATACACACAATGGAGTATTACTCAGCAATCCAAAAGAATGAAATCTTGTCATTTACAACTATGTAGGTAGAACTAGAGGGTATTATGCTAAGCAAAATTAGTCAGAGAAAGACAAATATAGGACTTCACTCACATGAGGACTTTAAGATACAAAACAAATAAACATAAGGGAAGGGAAGCATAAAGAATATTAAAAAAAACAGGGAGGGGAACAAAACATAAGAGACTCCTAAATGGAGAATGAACAGAGGGTGCTGGAGGGGGCGTGGGAGGGGGGATGGGCTAAAGGGGTAAGGGGCGTTAAGGAATCTACTCCTGAAATCATTATTGCACTATATGTTAACTAACTCGGATGTAAATTTAAAAAAATAAATTAAAGGGGCGCCTGGGTGGCTCAGTTGGTTAAGCCTCCGACTGGCTAAGGTCATGATCTCACGGTTCGTGGGTTCGAGTCCCGCATCAGGCTCTGTGCTGACAGCTAGCTCGGAGCCTGGAGCCTGCTTCAGATTCTTTGTCTCCCTCTCTCTCTGACCCTTCCCTACTCGTGCTGTCTCTCTCTCTCTCTCAGAAATAAATTTTAAAAAACATTAAAAAATTAAAAGAAATTTGTTCATGCTAAAAAAATAAACAATAAAAAATAAATTAAAGAAAAAAAGAAAAACTAAACTGTAGAGTTTGGTCCCAGTGGCTGTAAATGGGGAGAGGGGCCTTCTGCTTCCGGGGACCCCGCATCTCCACCTGCTTGTGACAGCAGCCCTGTGCTCCTTCTGTAAGTTAAGCATCTCCCAAATTTCACTGCTTTCTTTGCCACCTTGATTTTGCTCTCCGTCAGGCTTGGGAAGGAGCGCAGAAGCTCAGGCATGAGGGAGACCAGCTCATCCTCCAACGCTGCGTCCCTAAGACTTCCTGACCTAAAAAGACAACTGGAGGAAGGGGAAGGCGGCAGGTGTTTGCGCTTAGTCATTTGTGCGACTAAATCCTCAGGCGGTTTTGCACGGCTCCCGGGCTGTGACCCGAGCAGAGGCCTGGGATTGAGCGCTTGCTGCAGACGGAGCAGCTGCGCCTAATTCGACCGCGCCTCTCCCTCCACGTGAGCACGCGCAGAGGCCCTCCCGGGGGGCGGGGGGGGGGTGGTCTGGGCGCTGCTAGGCGATTCCAGCGCGAGGCACCCAAACCAAGGACGTTCCCTTTGCGCCTCCTCTGCTGGGATCCTTAAAACGGGCTGGGCTTCAGCTGCGGTGAGATATCACATCCTCCTCCCAGCCCTACACCTTGATCCCTCGGGGTCTAAAGGTCACGAAGGCTCTCCTTCTGTCTGTCCAGCGCTCTCGCCTAACGTAATGAGAGGCAGAGCAGAAAAAAGGAAGTGGAAGGGAGAGGCGGCAGCATCCTTCTCAGTGCGGAAAATCCAGAAGGAACAGCGTTTCCTCCACGCCCGTCCGAAAGTGCTCAGCAGCTGTGCAATCACAAGGGCAGAGGCAAGGGCTCGGGAGGGTGATTCAGGGTGTACGCTCAGCCTCCTCCGTCCTTGAGCAAGGTCGAGGAGGTCGGGCCTCGGGGAGACGCTGCCCCAGTTTGGAAAGAACTTGAGACTCTTCCTTAGGGGGCCGGTGCTTGCAGGAAGCAGGCGGAGAAAAGGCAGGTGTAGACCGCTGGGTGCGGGAGGGAAGGCAACCCGACCTCAGGCTGGGCTCAACCGGGAAAAGTGGGGTGTCTGCGGGACCCGCCCGCGCGTGGCAGGAAGGACTCGCTCGGGTCCGCAAGTGCTCCGCCGCTGCCATTAGGTGGCACGTCTTCGCCAGCCCGAAGGGACTGGGGGCGCGGCGCGCGAGGAGGGGGTGCGGTTTAGACACCTGTGCGCCTCCGCCCAGAGGCGCCCGGGCCGGACGCTGGGGACCGCCCGAGCCCGTCGGAGCCCGCGGGGAGGGGTGGCAGGGCGGGACATGCCCGACGCAAGGTGGAGGCCGCCACCTGGGCGCCCGCGCGCGGGGCGGCGCTAGGACCCGAGCGGCGCACCTGTTGGCTGGCGCCCCGGGCCCCGCCCGCCCTCCGCCGCGAGCGGCCACCCGGCGAGAGCGAGTGCGGCGGGGACACAGCGAGCCGAGGGCATCGGCGCGGCGGCGGCGGCGGCGGCGGCCCCGGGCTCACGATGGCCGAGCTGCTGCGGAGCCTGCAGGATTCGCAGCTCGTCGCCCGCTTCCAGCGCCGCTGCGGGCTCTTCCCGGCGCCGGATGAAGGCGCCTCCGAGAACGGCGCGGGCCCCGCGGAGGACGCGGCGCGGGCGCCCGGGCTCGGGCATCCCTCTTCTGCCCGCGGCAAGGGCGGCGGGGGGCTGGCCAACGGGCTGCGGAGAGTCTCGGCCCCGCAGGTAACCGCTGCCAGGTGTTCCCCGGGGTGGGGGCGGGGGCAGCCCGCGGACGCGCTGGTCCGGCCGACTCCGCGGCGCGGGGACCCAGCTCCCGGCGCCGGGCACGGAGGGGGAGGGGGGGGGGATTCCGGTCACCAGGGATGCCACCTCCAACGCTGTCGGGGGCACCCAGGTCTGTTCCGACATCAGACGCACTGGGAGCTTTAGATGCGGTCTAAAGACTTTCTGCCTCCCTGAGTGAAATTTCTGCTCGCGAATATCCTCCCAAATGTGTAAGAGTTACGTAATTGAGAAGAGGGGGGAGATGTCCTTGACGTTTCCACCGGGCCTCTCCGGGGAGAAATTCTGCGAACCCCCGCTCCCCCCGCCCCCAGGATTTTGTGAGTTTCCTCCCATCCGCCCTTCCCTGGTCCACACCCAAGGGGTGTAGCCGGGCTCCGTGTGCCCTTCACTGCTCTGCGTTTCCAGCTCAAAGGACAGAAGTGCAGGTTTAAATATTGCACCCGGAGAGGTCTGCAAACCCCACTCGCTGCCAACGCGGGGGTCAGAAACGCCACCCCTGGCCTGCCGAGTGGGTCTCTTCTTTACCCGCACCAGTGACTTTAACAGATGCTGTCAAGAAAAAGGGCTCACCGCGCTCGGCTCCAGGCGTTCAGAGTGTAGTTATACAGCCCACTGCGGCTGCGGGGAGCCGGCGTGTGTCGGCGGCGCAGTGTGGCGGGAGGGACCCAAGGGCGCGGATGTCGGCGCGCCCGGGCGGTGGGAGGGCTCTCTGCGGCCGTCACCGGTCCTGGGCATCCACAGAAGCTGCCCTTTCCCCGGGAGAGGCAGAAGGCAACGTAGTAACAATTCCATCTGCTTGGGGGGGGGAGGGGGGGAAGCCCGTTCGGTGACCAGAAGCTGGCATTTATTTACGTGTAGATTTCTAGATCTAGTAAGTGAAGAAGAACCTGGCTTCGATGTGGGAGGGGATATTGTGGGCCCTGAATTACAAAGTTTATTGGAGAGGGTGGGGGTGGAGGTGTGTTCCACTCTAGAAAAATCCTCTATAATTTTCTTTTTTTTCCAATTGTTTCTTCTCTGTCCCACATGACATCTAGTAACTTTTAATTGCTTTTAAGTTTACTTATTTATTTTGAGAGAGACAGAGACAGCGTGAGTGGGGGAGGGGCAGAGGGAGAGGGAGGGAGAGAGAGAGAGAGAGAGAGAGAGAGAGAGAGAGAGAATCCCAAGCAGGTTCGGGGCTGCCAGTACAGAGCCCAACGCAGGCTCCAACTCAGGAAACGGTGAGATCATGACCCGAGTGGAAACCACAAGGCAGACGATTAACCAGCTGAGCAGGCCAGGTGCCTCAACATCTAGTCACTTTTAGATGAATTTGAGACCCACCCACTTTTCCTCTTGCCCTGTCTTACAAATGGGACAGAGTCAGAAGATAAGAACAGTCACATACTGGAAACGTGGCACAGCTTTTCCTATGCATGCACACACACGCCATTTACACACACAGGTAGATGCATAGACTGTTTTTCGTTGCTCTCACCACACGCTTCCCTCTGTGTTTCCAATTCAGGAAGCTGAGGAGTGTGCATTTTCCCGCTAGTGCTTTTCAAACTGTTTTAAACTTACCTTTTTTTTAAAAAAAAATTTTTAATGTTTTTTTATTTCTGAGAGAGAGGCAGCATGAGCAGGGGAGGGTCAGAGAGAGAGGGAGATACAGAATCTGAAACAGGCTCCAGGCTCTGAGCTGTCAGCACAGAGCCTGAAACGGGGCTCGAACCCACGAACCGTGAGATCATGACCTGAGCTGAAGTCGGACGCTCAACCGACTGAGCCACCCTGGCGCCCCTTAAAACATTACCTTTGGTAATGAAACTAAATTCTGGACAAGGATCCTCTTGTGCTTTATTTAAAAGCACAATAAGCGAGGCCCCGGGGTGCCTTAGTCAGTTGAGTGTCTGACTTGGGCTTGGGTCATGAACTCGCAGTTTGTGAGTTCGAGCCCTGCATCAGTCTCTGTGCTGACAGCTCAGAGTCAGAGCCTGGAGCCTTCTTTAGATTCTGTCTCCCTTGTTCTTCGCCCCCCCCCCCCCCCCCCCCCCCCCCCCCCGGCTCATGCTCTGTTCTCTTTCTGTCTCTCAAAAATGAATAAATGCTAAAAGATTTTTTAAAAAAAATACAAGAAGCAGATTTCTTACAGAGAATTGTCTTCTACCTGCTTAGAAAGCCTGTGCACTCAGCGACATAGTAGGGTGGCCCCCTTTCCATTCTGACACATGACTTCACTCACTATAGATCATGAAATACTAAGAGGGAGCTAAAAATTCACGGTAAGAAGTCATTGTGTTGAGGAAGAAAATAACCCATGAGAGCATTTGATACATAAGGAGTTAATGAATGTTTTTAAAGGTGAGTCTGTTCCAGGTGATGGGGCGATTCGTATTTTGCAAGTCCAGGGAGAGTTCTCAAAGGAAAAGGATTGATACCTGCCCTGGATAATTAATAGCACCTTAAAGGGCTGGTTGGAAAACTTCTCTCCAGCAACTATCCTCCCCCCCCTCCCCCCAAACCCATGGCCTTTGGCTTCCGCCCAGCCCGTGGCCTGCCTGAGCTGCCTGTCCCTTCTCCAAATAATCCCACTCATCCCTCAGTTTCAAAGGTCAGTTCTTCAAGAGACACCTTTGCTCACCTTCCAATCTCACTCCTTCTTTTTTTTATAGGTTCTCTTTGTTTCCTGTTATCCTTCGTTATAGCACGCATCGCACTGTGCAAATATGCCTTTGTGTGGCTATCTGATTATTGCCAGTCTCCAGCGGGTGATAAGCTCTCAGAATGCAGGAAACTTGCCTGGTGTGCTCATTATTTTCTTCACATGGGAACTCAGCGAATTTCGTGAATACATGAGTGCAGACGGCAAAATAAAATCTGCCCTTTAAAAGCAAGACCAGCAGATTTCTTGCAAAGACCTCTTGCTCCAGCAAGCCGGATGGTAGGAATTCCCATCCCAAATATGACTGCACTCATTATAGATGATGAAAAAGGAAGACAGAGCTAAAAGTTCAAGATAAGACATTAAAGATTTTTTAAATTGAAGGGTAAATATTGAAAATCAGTTTTTCTCCCACATAGCCTAGAAGTCAGGCAGCTCTTGGAGGCTGATTTAAGGTCCTTCAAACAATAGAGAAGTGTTTTCTTCATTTGGGTGACTTTAGAATGCAACACATCGAATTTTTCTCATCTCCCGCGTTTGCTGGATTTATTTTCATTCTTAGAACAAATGCGGAAATGATTAAGGGCTTCGTTTACAAATTCTCATGTCACACCATCGCATTGGTAGGTTAAAGATTAACTACATCTTTTACCAACCAGGGCTGGGCCGGGTTGGCACAAAGCTGTCATTGAGTAAGTCAGAGTGGACCTCAGAGATTTCCCCATAGTCATGACTTTCACAGACAGGTCTGACTCCTAAAAGGTTAAGTGCTTTATGGAGGACGTTCCAGGTATCCATAGAGTGAGATCTTTTGACTGCCGAGTCAAAATTTCTCTCCACCGTGCACCTTCCAAGGAAAAATTCTGGGGTTTCATTTTATCTGTCTCACTGAGCAGGTATGAGGTGTAGGGGCTGGTTAGGAGCAGGGTGGGGGTCTGGCGGAAAGAGAACGTGTTGCTTTCAGCGTGCAGCAGTAACTGTAGAAGGACATTCTTGGTAGAAGCCAAGATCAAGAGGCAGGGACCCTGGGGCTGAGGAGAAGGGCAAAGACCTGGTTACAATTGTGTTTTTCTGTTCTGGGTCCAGGCCAGCCTTGGATATGATGGTATTTTGGTGTTTATCATCTTTGCTTACTCAACTCAATTACCTTCAGATAGACTCTGCAGTGTCTTTCCCCATCATTACGTTAGACTGGAGTGGTCTTTCCAAATGGTACTGGGCTCAATAAATACTTCGTGATAAGTATTGGCACATAGCTCTGGAGTTGGGTTGAGGCAGGGACCGAAGATACGTCATTTAAAGAAGTCTTTGTACTATTTCCTTCTTGAAACCTTTGGGACCCTGCAGGTCTGTCAGCCCACAAAAACCCACCCTTAATGTTACGGGCTTGCGAAAGTGCAAAGACATCTTCAGAATCAGGACACCCAGATCTGGCTCCGCCGCTGTGACTCAGGGAACTTCCCTGGGCCTCGTCTGCAAATGGGCACAGGGGGATAGAACCGTGCGTTTCCACCTGTGAGTGGCCATGAGCGTCAACTAGAGGAGCTTTAGAAACAAACAAAAAATCCACGTCCGGGGTGCAGGTCACAAGTGGAGGCTGGAGAAGCCAGCGAACAGAGGAGGGAGGCTCCAAGTTCTCTTCTCCTGGGGCTGAGCACCCTTGGGGTGTTCAAGACGAGGGTGGTGACAGTGAAGGCAGGGGTCGCAGCTGCTGCCGCATTTTGGCATGGTCATAACTCAACCGGCCAACAGATCAAACTTCCAGTTTTGATGATCTGTGATGTTCCAGTTTGAAATGGTAAAATAAGCCCCTTTGAAGGGGTAACTTTGACCATTTTTTTTTTTCTAGTTACAGATGGTGTTCAGATGATGAATCTTGGAAAAATACAAAGAAAAAGTTAAATCCATGCCCATTATACCCCTGCCCAAAGATAATCATTCAGTAAACGTTCAACCTCATTTTAAGTGGCTACGCGTTACTCCAGAGCATGGTTAGAGTAGAATTTTGTCCCTGGGCTTTTAGGTTGCTTCTGGTTTTTGAGTCAAAATAACATCTTTGTACAAGTATCTATCTTTCCACACATCTTGACTGTCTTTTTTATTTAATTAAATTTTTTTTTCTTTTTAGAGGGTGAAGGATGGAGAAGGGCAGAGAGAGAGAGAACTTGACCCCAAGACCCTGGGAACATGAACTGAGCCAAAATTAAGAGTCAGATGATCAACCAATTGAGCCACCCTGGTGCCCCTGTTTGATTGTCTTTTTTAATTAAGACATAAGTGACACATAATA